AAGAGTAGAAATTGCTTGGAGATTCATTTTCTTCCCCATAGTCTCTGCCTGCCCTTGGGCAACAAAACGGTGGTGTTTCGGTAGGTATGGCCCCATAGACGCATGTATTTGAATGCTTGGCCCATAAATAGTGGCATCTTAGGAGGTGTTGCCTTTTTTTGGAGTAAGTACATCACTGTAGGAGTGGGCGTTGAGGTCTCATATGTTCAAGCCATACCCAGTGTGGCACAGTCTCCTTCAGCTACCTGCAGATCAATAAATATGATGTAGAACTTTCCGCTCTTTCTCCAGCACCGTGTTTGCCTGCATGCTGCCTTGTCCCACCATGATGATGATGGACTAAACCTCTGAAACTTGAAGCCAGCCCCATTACATGTTTTCCTTTATAAGAGTTGTTATGGTCATGGTGTCTCTTCACAGCAATCGAAACCCTAAGATAGAAGGCAAAGCTGAGAACGAGCTGGATCAGTGTGACAAGGTCTAAACACTGGATGGTGGCATGCACTCTCAGTTCAGGGCAGAGGAAAGAAAACAGGAGATGTCCACCCAATGATCAAAGTCAATCAAATCACTCAGCTGCAGCAGGACAGGCAGGCAGATGCCCTTGTCCGTCACAGGGCCCCTCAGCGAATAAACCTTATGTTAATGTTATTCGGTAAGAGATTCAGATTTTGTTCAGGTGGAATAGAGAATCATTTAAAGTTTAGCTGGAGAATGATAGGCTCTTACACATGTCTATTTATTTTCCTTATGGTGGTTAGGTCCAAATTGGGTCCCTCAAAATGGCTGTGCTGGTGACAATGTCCTACACACAAGGACTTTGGCTGGGTAAAGAGAAGGATCGTTACTGGGCAAACAGCCTGAAGTCGGGTTTCTGTTTACTGGAAAATTGGATCTCACAAGGCATGTTTGTGTTTACCTGGAATCTCCTTTAATTCCTTAATCCTCCCAAAGGCTTTAACTACCGTGGGCAAGGGCATCTAGTTCCTAGTCAATCTGAACAGTTCCAAGATTCCTTCCCTGCTGACTGTCATATAAAATCCACTTGCTTCTCCACCAATCATCTTCTCTCTGCCCTGCCCCACAGCCTTGGCAGTCTGAGCCACAAAGAACTTTTCTTTCTGCCTGGGGAGTGGTCTAGTTTGGTGACATCACTGGACGCTTGAAAATGATGAAATGTGCCAGGAGGTGGTGGTGCAGGTGTTTAATCCCAGCACTCAGGAGGCAGAGACAGGCGGATCTCTGTGATCCAGCCTGGTCTATATAGTGAGTTCCAGGACAGGTTCCAAAGCTCTAGAGAAACCCTGTCTCAAAAGCCAAAACAAGAGAAAATGGTGAAAAGCATTCAGACTCCTGCACATCCAAACGAGCATTTTGCTGTGTGTGGAATAGAACCGTGGGGAGAGGGACAGCAGAGTAGTTACATCACAGGGAATCTAATTCTGAAGTGCCGCTGGCTTCATGTTAGCACTTACTGTGAAATTGCACGGGTCAGAATCTGAAGACGGAACCAACTGTGCGACAAAAACTCTCCAAGGTTTGGGGTGGGAACAAATTAGCAAAGAGTAGACAGGGCGAGGCGGAAGGGTGGGATTCAAAATTATGCTTTGATGAAAACATCTGTTCCAGAGAATGTTTCCTATTGTAGAATTCACGGTGTTAACAGGATAAAGGAGAAAAATAATCTCAATAAATGCAGACCACCTGCTGTGGTGAGACACACCTGTCATCTCGGCATTGGGAAGTGGAGGCAGGGGACCGGGAATTTAAGGCCATCCTTGGCTACAAAACAAGTTTCAGTCCAGCCTGGGTTACATGAAACCCCCAAAACAAAACAACAACAACGAAAAACGAAGAAAACTATCGATAAGATCAACAGTCATTAGTGTTTTAAAGAAAGAGAAATATAGAAAACTTTCATCTGAAAAAGAAAAGCATTCTAAAAACCTACTAATAGATACATCGGTGTGTACCTGTGACAGCCAGGCACACGGGTATGCCTGAGATAGCAACACTCAGGGGGCAGATACAAGAAGGTTACTAATTGAAAACACTGTGAGACCTTTTGGTTTTGGTTTTGTTTTTTTTTTTTCTTAAGTAAAAAAAAAAAATAGAAGTATCCTTTAGATTACTGGCGGAATATCAAAAATATTTTCCTCTGGGTAACTGTAAAAGGAAGATGCCTTCTGCCATCCACTATGTCCCTGTAATGAGGTCCTACCTAACCTACAGGTACCAGAAAGGGAAGAGTCAGGAATGAAGAAACAAAACCGTCATTATTTTATCTTTGGAAAATGCTGCAGCATGTATAGATTAATGATCGAATTAATACATGTATTTATCATAATCACTGGTGGAAGTTACAAAAATTAGTTGTACTATATAAGCAGCAATGGACAATCAGAAAGTAAGAAAGTATTTAATGATACTACTTACAGTCATATCAAATTTATCAAATAACTATAAAAATATGCAAGGGCATCTACTTCAAAAACAAAAAAATGATTGTGAGAAAAACGCATATGAAATGCTAAACTGTGTTCACAGGTTTAAAGATCAGGGTTGTAAAGATAACGCTTTTTCCACACTTGATCGGTTTGTGCTTCAAGACTGACACGCTGGTTGTGAAACTTACATGGATGTGTAAGGGAAAGACCTACAGTAACCAAGATCCGAGGAACGGTTAGACTGCCAGACTGCAAAGCTTACTACGACACCATAGTAACTACACCAAGGTGGGATTATTAATGGACAGAAACACAGAACAGAGAGAGCCGGGATGCAGCACAGGACTAGTACAGAGAGCAGACAGAGCGATGATACAGCTCTGAAAAGAGTCTCCGTCCAGGGACATTTGACTTATGACAAAGGTGATGGTGACCACCAGAGTGAGGGCTAAAACAGCCATTTCGGTGACTAATATCCAGGCAACTGCACACCCAAATGGGCCCTTGCTTCATGCCATACTCCAAAACCAGATACAGGCTGTCACCAGCCTCGTTGTCAACTATAAAACACCTAAGAGGTTGAGAGGGAGACCATCTTCACAGGAACACAAGATCGCTCAACAAGACACAGAAAGCACTAGCCTCAGGAAAGGGCAAAACCAGCACTATGGTGAACTCAAACTCTGTTCATCAAAAGACACCATTTAGAGGAAAAAGAATGCGTTGGGGGAAATGTGTAGAAATTTTTAACCTGAATATTTTTAACCTGATTAAAATATTTCTTTAAGTTTTTAAGAAAAAGAGAAACAAACTAATAGAGAAATAGCTAAGAGACTAGATTAGCCACTTAAATAATAGGAGACATGCACGTGAGGGATGGGGCAGTGAAGGGAACCTGTTACACAGCCAGGAAGAATGGAGTTTGGATTCCAGCAGCCATGTATTAAAGCCAGGTGTCCCAGCACTTAGTCCAGCTTTGAGGAAAGGGTGGGGAGGTGGGAGAGTTGGGACAGGAGATAGCTGGAGTTTGCTAGCCTCCAGGTTAGCCAAGTAAGGGGGCACAGAAAAAAAAAAAAGGTATTCAACCTTAATATTCATCAGGAAAATGAAAACCGTCACCACAATGAAATGTTGCTATTCATGCCCGAAAGGCAAAGGTTAGAAAACAAAAAACAACAACAACAAAATAATGACAACTACCGGAGAGGGAGCCTCAAACATTGGAGAACAGAATGCGAGTTGCTACGACCACTTAAGAAAACAAACGATCTGGAAGGAGACCTGGGATCGCTATGCTTCCCACGTGATGGTGGCCATGTGGGTCTTCCCTCCCTCTGTTCAGAATGGCTAGAGCTCCACAGGAGCAGATCCAGACCATGGACGTTTGCAGAGGCAGGACTGAGGCAGGACTTAGCCAGCCACCTGAGCCAGCGACCTGGGCCAGCGCAGATCTGAGACAGCTATCTCCACAGGAGCAGGTACAGGGGAGCAACTGCTGAGTGAGTGGTCCAGAGCCAGAGACCGCTGTGGGTTCAGGCGTGAATCTGGGATCTTTGAGGGAGTAGACCTGAGTCAGGACCCCTGCGAGTCTGGGCTTGAGTCTAGGACCTCCAAGGAACTAGGCCCGAGCCAGGACCTCTGCGGGTCCCAGTGCACCCGAGTCTGGAATCTCCAAGGGTTCAGAGCTGGAGACCTTTGCAGGACCAATCCCAAGCACAAACAGATCAGGGAAATTTACAGAAACGGGTCTGAGCCAGCAACCTAGATCAGAGCAGGCCTGAGGCAGCAAGCTCCACAAGAGCAGAGCAAACCCTAGGAGAGCAACCACCAGGAATAAGGAGTGATCAGTGGGGTAACTAGAACCATGGTAGACTGTACCATGAGGAACAACCATCTGAGCCCTGGATCCACTGGCACCTAGAAGATTGATCACCAGACTCACAGACAGCCACAACTACACCTATTAGAGGAAAAGATGAGTAGATAAAGTAAGAACACACACACACAACACCACAATAGCAACACTACACCAGTAAAATCTAAAGACCCTATAACAGCAAGACTTGAACAACCAAAGACAGATGAAAGAGAAGAAAATGACCTAAAAGAAAACGATCTGGCAGAATCCACTGTAGTTGAACATGTATACACTGGATGCCTGAGCAGTGCCTTGAGGATACCACTCCTAGGTATCTGAAATGCAGAGGTATGCGGACCGAAGCATCTGTACAAAGATGTCCACAGGAACACTGTTTTAATCACGCCAAGATGGGAACAGTTCAAGCGCATACCAGGAGTAGAATGCATGTGTACATCGTGGTACACACTAACTAGTCAACCGCTGGCCATGGAGCGAGGGTCCCCAGCTGGCTAGTCCTCAGCTGTTTGAGGTTTCTAGTTTCACCCCAGTCAGTTGACCGAGGAGGTCTTTGAGATGAGTCCTGCTCCGAGCATGTGCCGAAAGCAGTCACATGAGCGATAGCTCGGAGCTGGGTAAGCACCGCGTAGCCACCCCAGCTAGTCCCTGCTTCATGAGCAAACCAAGTGATTACACCAGTTTTTAGCCGCTGTATTGGGGATAGGTTTTACACAGCAGTAGGTAAGCAGAGCACACACTGAGCTTCTTAATGATCAACAACGTAGAATATATTCAGCAAAGCACGGTGGTGTCCACCCGCAGTTCTAGCATTCAGGAAAGGGAGGCAGGAGAACTGTCAATTCAAGACCCATCTCAGGCACGGTAGTCAGATGTTGTCTCAATCAAAATAAATGATCAGATAAAAAGAGAGCAGGATAGATCCAACTTGTAAGTCACTTTTATATGTTTAAGGAAGGAAAACGAATTGGTTAAATTTATAAAATTTTTCTACGAACTATTATCTAATACTAGATTCATAAACAGGACATGGTTATTTGTATCCTGAACATAAAAGTTGAAGAAAATATTAGGGTTAAAAATTTTCTACTTCAATAGAAACTTATTTGGGAACCAAAAATACCCACGGGAGGAAGTCAGTGGATCCTTACAGACAATTTAAAGCAACAGCATCGGGAGAGGCGTGGGTGTGCTTTAGTGAGCGCCGGCAGGCGGCCAAGCTATGTCATAGGAGCTCTACCTCACTGGATCCTCACGGTGACCCTGTGAGGTGAGTTCATAGCCCCGCTTGGCAGACCAGGTTCAGAGGCTGTGTAACCAGCCAAGGTCCTACAGCCCATAGAAGATGGAGTCCATCCTTCCGTGAGGAAGGTTCGTGAAGGCAAGTTTCCTCCGTGTCACCCTTGGCGCAGTTGTGGGACTAGCATGGCATGTCCGTTTCCCCATCGTGCCCCAGCTCTTTCTGATGGACGAGAGTAGGGATGTGGGTACAGGTGGCCATCCAGGGAACACGGAAGGGAGCTATCTGGAAGAGGAGCCATTGTCTCTGTGATCCTTAAAGCTCAGGAGTGTGGGTTGGAGCCAAAGGGGCCTGTGCTCTGGTCATAACCTGAGAAGAGTTCTGGAGAGTTCTGAAAGCTGTGGAGAGAAACAGAAGGGTATCAGCACCTGGCTCCATGGGGCATGCGCAGTATCACAGGATCCTGTGGGTTTCCATTTCCTCTGCGGACACCCCCATCCCCGCGGACCCCATGCCCAATGCCTGGCCATGGGCAGCTGTGTCTTTCAGTTCTTTCATTATGGAATACAGGTGGGGGACAGGCGGGGGTCACTTCTGAAGCTATCCATCCCTGTTCTCTTAGTCTACGGTTCTATCCTCCTCTCGCAATTTCAGGAAGCTCAAAGGAACGCATTCTGCTTCCCACTTGCCACTCATGGATGATAAAGACAGCCCCAGCCCCACACTGAAATTCAACAGGTGTTCTACGGTCCGGCCTTTCATTTCATAAAACGAAGAAGAAACTAACAGTGTAGAACTGGAGAAATGACCCAAAAACTGTGCAGGGAGTGACTGCCGCCCTGGGCCTGACCAACACAGGGGTGTCTGCGAGCCGATGAGCCACTGAGAGACTCCAGAGCCTGCTAGGCTACTAAGAACCAAATGTCTGCCCAGGAATCTGCTCAGGAGCTGTCTGCTTGCATGGGCAGTCACCAGCTTTCCCTCTGAGGGAAGAGTACGAAGGCAATGTGACGGCGGTGGTAGGTAGAGCGCCAGAGGGTTCTTCGGAAGCTCGGGGAGCGGGGCGTGGTCTTTCTCAGCCTCCTCCCAGGCTGCCGAGGAGGCAGGGAAAGGATTCTGGCAGCTGTCGGAAACCAAACCGCTTCCACCGGGTCCCATCTGTTGCTGAGCTGTTGAACTGCTGTCCCCACCAGCCCTTTCCCGTGGGGTAGGTTTCAGGGAGGAAGGTGAAGCAGCCAGCCACTTGGAAGCTGTCTAAAACAGGACCAATTATGACCACGTTTTCACCTCCTTGGGAACATTCCGTGGTTTGAAAGTAAAAGCCACCTGCTGTTTCCTTCCTCCAGGCTATTTAAATAGCAGGGACAGACGCGGGAGGATCTGGGGGCCAACAGTGGTTCTGGGAAAGACTTCTGACAACTGGAACCATTCTTAGAGGAGGAAATGAGCTTATTGCTGCAAGCTGGACGGATTCCAGCTTGGTAGGAGCAATGGATCGCCCCTGCTCCAAGAATCACACTGTGAGGAGCTCCTGCGGGGACCCCAAGACACTTTGCGATTTTACAAAGTGAGTTAGGCTCCCGGCAAAGGAGGCCTCGGACTATTCCTGCTGAGGTGAATGCTAACGCTGACATGCGGTCTGTTCTGTCCTGACGTCCCTTGCTGAGGGGCTGGGTACGAAAGCTCCAGTCTCCTCATTTACCAAGCCGCCTGTCCTTTGATGTCTGGGGGGCCTTTATTTGAATGGTTTTCTTTATCCTTATAGGAAATGGGTACTGACCTTGGAGGAGTTAGAATTCAAAATGAACAGAGACACAAGGTTGCTTAGGGAAGAGAAGAGAGAGCAAAGCCAGAGATTGGGCAAGAGGGGATGGGCAACAGCGCTAAACAAAAACAAAAGCAGGAGAAGTCAGGGGCAGGTGGAGAGGGAGAGAGATACTCAGAGCCACAAACTGAGACGGCAGGGACAAATAGGAGTCAGGAATGAGAAGGGCAGCAGTCAGAGCTCCGTGAACTGAAGAGGCGGTGCAGCACCCAGGGGTCACACTGGTCAGCAAGGAAGGGAACTGAGCAGGAGGTGCGGAAAGATAATGGGGGACCAGGGAGCAGGAAAGTAAACTAAATTATCTTGGGTCTCAGAGCCCTGGAATTCCTCCCCGGGAGATGACAACGTCTGTATCTCTAAAGCCAATGTCTACCTCTCTTGCCTCTTTCATCTGCTATGCGGATTGTTCTGGAAATACGCATCCACTCACTCACTCCTTGTGCCTCAGAGTCCTTCCGCACTGGGCTAGTTCCTCAAATCTGCCGGTGCTTCCCAAAGAGCGATAGGTCCCTTCAGTGGCTCCCCTGTCACTTAAAATACCTTCTACATCGTGAAGAGTGTGTGGGGTTTTCCTCAGGAAAAGCCAAGCCTCTGCTATATTTGGGTAGAGACCAGAGGAAAATGTCACAGCATTGTAAGGTCAATCAGGGGAACATGAAAGTGACTTTCCAGAACTACGGAGCGCGGCCTTCCTGGCACACACTCCTAGGAGGGAAATCCTGTCTTCCCCTGGAGGTCACCTGGGTCCAGGCCCGGCCCACGGCCACTGCCCACACGTGTGGGCTGCTGGGGAAAACCAGGCTGTCCTACACCTGTCATGGTAATGTTTAAATCAAAGTAGTGCCCAGACCTCTGCCTGAGTGACCAGCACGTCTGCCCCTGGGCTTGAGGAAAGCAAGTCAGGGCCATTTACTTCCCAGAACTGTGTCGGCCATCACCAGTCTCTTTGATTTCAACAGTCCTTCCTAGTCAAGTCTCACTAACTCTGCATCCCCAGAGCTCATCTGTACACCAGGGAACCCACGGGGAGAACCATGTTGAAATGCATGTCACAGACAGAACCTCCTTAGTCTCAGCAGGGCTGCTAGCCCCTCCCACGCCCCAAAGATCAGCAGCTCATTGGCCTGCTCTAAATGTCAGTCAACCCATTCTCTGAAATGTAACCCCCCACCCCCACCCCGCTGTGAGTAGGTTTAGAAAATTCTCCAGGCAAGCTTGCGCCTGCTGTGAGCACAGGGCTGGGTTAGAGCAGTGAGCCCTCTGGGCGGGACTCGAAAGCAGTGCTTCTGCCGTAAGATGGCAGATGTGACCAGCAGCGGCAGGAACAGGCACATTCGCCTCTGCATACTTACGTGGGATCCTTAGCTGGTGACTGTGCCCGTGTTAGTTCCGCCCTCACCTCATGTACTCCCCATCACTCCTATAATCCATAAACGACTCTGATCCTGAAACCTCTTCAAAATCCTCCAGCACCAGACTGGTGGAGTCCTCACCCAGGGGGCCACTGTCAGGTCTGGACATCCTAGCCCGGGGCAGAGATGCAGGGAAGTTGGTCGGAGCTGGAGGTGGGGAGCAAGGAGGTGTTGGCAGGATACAGATGGGCCTGGCCTCAGCAGGGGACACGGCAGCCTCAAAGACTTCTTCCTCATCCTTCTCAGACTCGGGTCCTCCATCGGAGGCTGAGGACCCCAGAACATGGTAGAGACTGGGAAGGCGGATGTCGAAGCGCAGCCCAAACTTAGCAAACAGCTTGTCATTGAGCGTGTAGAGCTTCTCGGAGATGTCATAGCCCAGCAGGGCTGAGAAGAGGCGGGAGATGTATCGCTCTCTGTTCAGAAGAAGGTGGAGATTTTTCCGGGGCCAGGAAATGTAGCTACATTCGGTCTCAGCAGTCAGCGTGACCTGGGGGGTTAGGAGCAGAGAAAGATTTAAAGTGCAGAGACACAGGTGGCTATTTTGATTGGGGTAACTCTACGGCCTAGCTGGGAGGAAGTCCAGGTACAAGCTTCTTGTGTGTGCTGTGATGTGCATGCCCTGTGTCAGGAGCAGGGGACAGCCTGGTGCTCACTCGACCATCACCTCCAAAGAGATGAGGGAAACGTTTATCGAGGGACAAGGCTACAGATCAAGCAAGTATCAAGCCAAGATGTATCAGAGGGACAGAGCACTGGGGTTCAGGTACCCGAATCTGTTCTTAACTTGGTTACAAACTGAAAGGATCTCATGACTCAAGAACGAATAGAGACAGAAAAAGAACTCACGACCAGAATGGAACAGGCCCCCTCTTCGGTTATTTATTTAAGAGCCTGGGAATGTCTGCATAGTCACTGTGCCCGGGATGCAAATCAGATTATGCCAGCAGGAGAGAGAAGAAACACTGTGTGCTTGGCACACAGTGGGCCTCCATAATCCTTGTTAAAATGATGATCTACGCATGGTGGCTCATGCCTTACAACCCAGCACTCCGAAGGTGGAGGCAATGGATCCGGTACACAGTGAATTCTAGGATAGCCTGAGCTATGCAGTGAGATCCTGTCTCAAAACCAAAACCAAAACCAAAGATGAGTAGCAAAGCTAAGGTTAAAGTGGAATCATTCCAAGGATAGTATCGAGAAGGGGATAAACTTAGACAATTTGTAAAGGTCTCGTTGACACAACCCTTGGGCTGGCAGGGTTAGGGTGTGTTTGTGAGTGGAGACGGAGGGACATGGCAGCTAACCTTTACTGAACTGTGACTATGTGCCAGGCACTCTGTTGACGCCTTATACTGACTATGAAATGTAGTGTTGGCTTTTGAAGCATTCTCTGTTAGAGATTATATACAACCCCTTGAATTCGTGCCTTTCAGGGCCAGAAAGATGGTTGAGCGGGTTAAGAGCACTTGATGTTCTTACAGAGGACCCTAAGTTTGATTCCCAGCACCCACATCGAGCAATTCAAAACTGCCTATAACTTCAGCTCCAATGGGTCTAAAGCCTCTGGCCTCTGTGTGTGTGGGGGGGGGGGGCACACATGTGCGCGCGCACACACACACACAAATTAAAAATAAAATAAATCTTCTAAAAAGACACTACTTTACCTCCCGTCCCTCTCCTCTCCTCCTCAGTGTCTGCTGAGCCCCTCCTCCACTTCCTGCTCCCCACAGCCCCCTGTCTCATCTGTTAGACCAGAGCCCTAGCTAAATTAGTCATCAGGCCAGGGGCTGGTTGCTGGTTTCAGCCTGACCCTCCACCAGCCGTGTAATTTCCGTTTAATAACTATGCCCGGGCATGTCGCCTCTTTGAGAGAGTCCTGAAGAAAACACTCACAATCTGTCACACTCAGTCATAGCCTCTGCCTCAAATGTCCTTGACAGAAAGTCCTAGGACAAAAGACACGGTGCCAACCACAGGGCAGATACGCCTGATGATGTCCTAATGTGGATGACGTCAATGTCTGTATGGCCAGACACAGAGATTATGGGCTTTTCCCCTGTGTAGATTGTTACTGCTTCCATTAAAAAAAAAAAAGATAAAATATGAAACTCCTTTTCTTCATCTTACTTTCTTGGCTACCATTATATTCATTCTCCATTTTAGCAAACTCCACAGAAACCTGTCTATATGTACTGTCTCCTTTCTTCTGACTTGCTCTTTGGCAAATAAGACTGTCAATCATTGTTCCTGTCAATCAAGACACCCTGTGACCTCTCAGTTGCTGTTCTCACAGGCCAGCTGCACTCTGCCAAATCACCTCTCTTTGGCACACTGTCTCTGTGGGGTTCTGGGGTGCCAAACACTCCTGGGAAGACCTCCTGACTTCTCCTCAGGTTCACTTTCTGTCTCTTCCTTTTCTCCCCAACTTCACAGAAGAGGTCAGATTCTTGACCACTTCTCTATGCTTGCATTCACTATGCAATGCTATCCCACCCAATGGCTTTTAGTCTTACCTGTATAAAACCCGTTTCCAAATGTATCTCTCAAGCCCAGACCTCATTCCTGGATTCCAGACTCGACTATCCCAGCTGCCTTTGCAACATTCCCACTGTCCAATATGAAGCAAACTGAACACATCCCAAGATGCACTTCTCCCGCTCTGGCAAGCTCTGCCTGCAGCCACCCCACCCTTCTAGCACTCAGGTCAGAAAGTCAGAAGCCTCCTTCTTCAATAGCTAAGCATTCATTAACCTTTCGGGCTCCATCTAGAAAACGTAACTGCTGGCCCTTATGCAATGGGTCCCACGACACCTCTGCAGCTTCCTCTCCTGCTAGCTGCACCCCACCTCTCGGTGCTCCCCTTTCTGTACCCGAAGCCTGCAGTTCTCCCTCAGGACTTTAGAACTTGTTCTCTCCACTGTCTCCTAGAGGACCAGAGTGCACACTGTCCCCTCTCAAGCTCTTACTCAGTGGTCACCAGTTTAACAAGGACACCCACGAGCACTGGTACTTAAACTGTAACCTTACGCTTCATTCTCTGCTGCTCTTTTAATCAGCAGTTACTGTTCTCCAATATATTCATCTGTTTGTTATATCCAGGGTTTATTTTTGCCTCTCCTGCTAGAACGCAGCTTGCATAAGGGCAGGATGTGTGCTGTCCATTGATGTCTTCCAAACCCTTTCATCAGTGCCAACATATACCAAGTTCCTCAAGAGCGTCTCTGAAGGGAACAAATGATTCAAGTGAAGATGAACAGTCTTGTATGCAGCCAAACAACCCAGTGTCATTTCTTCATGTCTTGTAAAGTCCTTCCTTAGAGTCTGGGGAGATGGTTCAGTGGTTAAGAGCACTTCCTGCTCTTCCAGAGGACCAGAGCTTTGCTCCCAGAACTCAGGTCAGGCCACTCACAGCAGCAACAGCCTGTAATTTTGGCTGATGCCCTCTTTTGGCCTTCCAGGGTGCTGCACCTATGTGCACATACCTCTTCCACCACATACACACACAACTAAAACCAAATCTTTTTAAAAAGTCCTTCTCTGAAGGTTCTCTGGAAATTTACTTTCTTTCATGTGTGTGTGTGTGTGTGTGTGTGTGTGTGTGTGTATGTGTGTGTTGGGGGTATGTGTGTATGTGTATGTTAGGGGGTATGTATGGGCATGTATGTATGTGGGTGTGCTGGCCTGTGCATGTACATGTGGAGGTAGAAGCTGACTTCCGGTACCTTCTCTATTGCTTTACATCATATTTTTTGAGACTACACCTCGCACTTGACATTCAACTGGACTGGCGGGCCAGCAAGCCCCCCAGATCTGCTTGTCTCTGCCTCGCCCGGTGCTGGGATTACAGGCACACGTCACTATGTCCTGCTTTCTGTTGGGTGCTGATGATCCTAATTCAGCCCCTCGTGCTTGCACAGCAAGCGTTTCCCTACTGCACCAGGCGCTTAACCTCCAGAAGCCTGCCTTTTTATTGGTTCCCACACGCATCCAGGGTTAACAAAGTTTTGATAAGCACAAAGCCTTTTCTTTGTGAGAACATATATAATTAAGACAGAGGTCCAGCGAAACAGGACACAGACCACAGGCTGGGGATGAATTCTGCGGGCTGTGCCGTGCTCTGCTCTTGGCGAATAATGGAAGTGTCACGGTGCCACCAGCCAGCAGATCTGGGGAAACTGAACTGTTGAGAAGTGTAACAGGGACGCTGAGATTTGGGTTAAATTTGCTGTAAATTGTGATGTAAGCAGTCACTAGAATTGCTCTTCCAGTCAACAAAGCTAGGTACGAGGCAAGATCAAGATGAACTATAACCCAACAACACCTGATACCTGCAAAGAGGAAATGGGATTTTACACAGCCAACAGCAAGGGTGTGGATCCCATTGCTTCTAAATTAGGCATCCACAGAAGATATAAAAGGGAGGAATATGAGCATGCTGACATTCCAGGCCGAGAGGCCATCTGGGGTAACAGTCTTTCCTCTGGAGTATGACCCACCTGCTCCTCCCTGTCATTGCTGTAGCCGGGTCTGGCTGGCTCCAGCCCTAAGCTCTTCTGTCATTCTCCTGGCCTTAGGGAGTTCCCAGAGAATGACTCTGGGTGCGGCAGAGAGGGTGGGGATGGGACAAAAGTTATTTGATTGGAGGGAGTCAGTGGCTAGTAGCCCTGGCAATGGTGGCAAGACTGCCTCTTTGACAATATCACCATAGAGCTAGGATTAGGACAGAAGCCAGCCCAGACAGTGGCATTGCCTGGCATGTGTCTGTTCCGGGGCTAGCTCATATGCTGGCTAGAGGACTCTCTGGTAGACATCACAGAAGATACACAGATCATAGGACCAGCAAACTGCCTAGCAGAGTCCCTAAGAGGGCTGAGTGAACCACTCTTATGATGGCCCTTTCATTTCTCAGAGAAAAGAGACAGACAGTAAGAGCAGGCTCCTTCTTGGCTTTGTCGCTTTCTGGCTGGGTGCATGATGCTTTGGGATCTGAGATGGGTTATCTGTTAGACAGTAACAGTATTACCCAGTCTAGCAATTTGTGTGACTCAGCAAGGCAATACAATATGCAGTGTGTGTCACGTTCTAGCCATCGGCAACCTGGAACCACAAATGTGAACAGCTGCACAGAGGTCAGTAGGCGCTGAGTGGTCAGGATCCCTGCGGCCTCATGGGCGTGAGTGACCCGTTGAGTCTTCTGAGACACCAACCTGTTCAGTAAAAACTGGGTTCTTGAGACTGTGTTTTGAAGTGTGGGACAGAGACAGATACAAACAGAGATAGGGTCAGAGATGGAGAGATGGAACTGTCTCTGTGTCATTAGAATAGACAGCATGGTGCATGCAGCCAGCATGCAGGAAGGGAAGAGCTGGAGCCAGCTGGTGGCTGCAGTAAGCTGTAGACATGGAGGCGGGAAGGTGAGCCTGAGTAACCCTCATAGAAGAGTCCTGGGGAGCACGGTGGCTTGTTTAGAAGTGAAAATGCGTTTCAGATAAAGAGGCCATAGCAGGGTCAAGGTATATAGGTACTGGTGTTTGGGAGGGCTAGAATGAGCAGCATGAACCAGGAGAGCTGGAGCTACAACCAAAGGGTGCTAGGTTTCCATTATCCTACGTAGGATGGGCTTTTGTTGTTACTGTTTTGTTTTTTTTTTTTTTTAATATTCTAGGCGTTAGTCTTTTGGAAAGTTTGTAGGCACACACAGGATATGACTGCCTGTCAGGGACCAATACCACCCTTCCCTGTTCCTCAGACCCGGGAGCATAGGCACTCTTCTCCTCAGAAGGCAGGGGTCATGACCCCACCCCCTCTTAGCATCACATCTGGTGATGGCCCAAGGGCAGATGTGAGAGAGGGAGGCAGCGATGTTGGGGCGTGCAGCGGCAGGTGAGCAGTGCTGCCTTCGGGCTCCTCCTTACCTGGAAGGTCCCCTCCTCGGAAGGATGCAGCGATTCCCACTCTGGGGAGTCCATGAACTGGTACGGAAAGATGTAGTGCAGAAACTGCCCATCCTGGCTCACTCGAACCCTGACGAAAGGAAAGAAGACACTGTCTGGGAAAGGGTAATCACTGCCCTATGCCCTCTGCCGAAGTCACTTATGGCTGAATGGCTCAAGTCCTCCAGCAGAAACACCTAGCTAACGTGTGGAGAGGCCAAAGCAGATGTGACCCAATGAAACACAGAGAGCAGGCTCTCATTCCAGACTGCAGAACTAGAGTCCTGGGGATTGGGGGAGTGTAGGTGGAGGCTATTTGTTCTTTTCCTGGTCACCCAGACCCAAAATAATTACACAGAAACTATATTAATTAAAACACTGCTCAACTAACTCTTACATCTTAAATTAACTCATTCCTATTGTTTTATATTTTACCATGAGGCTTGTAGTTTACCGGTAAAGTTCTGGGGAGACAGGAGTGGCCGTATTGGTGTCTCCCTGATTCTGCCTTTTTTCCTCCTCTATCTCTGCTTGTAATTCCTGCCTTGTTCTATTTTGCGCTGCCATAGGCCCAAAGCAGATTCTTTATTAACCAATGGTAATAAAACATATTTACAGCATACAGAGGGGAATCACACATCACCTCTCCCTTTCTGTCTAAATAAAAAGGAAGGTTTTAACTTTAACATAGTAAAATTATATATAAAAAACAGACATCAAGCAAGAATTACAGTCACAATATTTATATCTATTTTATCTTTTATTATAACTAAGGAAAACTATAACTATCTAATCTTCAACTCCATCAAAGACTCCAGAAGGATATAATATTACCTAAGTAAATAAGAATTACATTGTAAGCAACTTCCAAAACTGTAGAATTGACATACATACACATACCACCACCATCACCACCACCACCACCAACAACAACAAAGAAGGAGAGGAGGAGAAAAGGAAGGAAGGAAGGAAGGAAGGAAGGAAGGAAGGAAGGAAGGAAGGGAGGGAGGGAGGGAGGAAGCAAGGGAAAAAGGACGGAAAAAAGGAAGGAAAGAAGGAAGGAAGGAAGGAAGGAAGGAATGAAGGAAGGAAGGAAGGAAGGAAAACCTCTTGAAAAGTGCCTTGGGCAGGGGCCTTATCCCAAAGCAATAAGAAACATGTCTGAGGGCGAGGGCTGGACACTAGTAGTTTAAGAATCTCCCCAGAAGGTGAGAAACAGGAGGAATGAAGTGGATTTTTTGTTGTTGTCTGTATTGTTATTTTTTATTTTATTTTTTATTTCTTTTTTAGTTTTCCTTTGGATGGCAATGCTACAAGGGTGAAGGACAGATATGGAGAGACTGGGAGAAGAATGGGATTGGGCCCTTAATGTGAAATTCCCAAAGAATCAGTCAAAACAATATGTTTAAAGCCACAAAAAAACAATCTCCTCAGTGAGTCCACTATGTGTCCAGGACGCAAACCACTGGGTTGTGGCTCTACTGTCCACTAACCACATGTGGTTATTTCATTTAAGATCGACGTCCATTAAAACTAAATACAGTTAACAGTCCAGTTCCTCCGTCACACTGATCAAACCCAGGTGCTCCGGTCTGTGGTTGTGTGCAGTCTGTGACTGCCGCATTGCACAGTGTGGATGTAGAATGGCCCCATTGCCACAGAAGATGCTGCCCTACTGGGATGCTGCCCTCTGTCCAGCAGGCTACATGAGCAGCAGTACTGAGGACAGAACACGTTTGCAAGGGAAAGAAGACAGTGTGTGAGAGACGAACAGATGCTCCTCGTGTGCCTGCCCCTTTAGTCATCACAGCAATGCAAGGTGGACCGTTTGGTTCCCTCCCCCGCCCCACCCTCTGTTTTACAGCCAAGAACAAAGATGGTAAGGAAACCTTAAGATCATATGGCTAGCAGGAAACAAAACCGAGATTCTGTGTTCTCACCACGATGTCATCTTACTGGTTTTCGTAGGTGGTGGTGGACACTTTCAACATCACCTTTCTGAACCGTCAGCAGCCATAAGGAAATGAGAATCCAGATACCTCATTCAGTGGACAGTCCTGGGATGCACACCTAGCCCAGGGACATTTCAACCCCATCTGTGAGACTTTGGAACTGGGGTGAAGTCACTGTGACTTGTGCTTCCAACAGAGACAACTACCAGACATTGGTTAAACCGGCACACTCCTGTATTCAGGTATTAAAACCTTGTCTCTCATATAATGGAATTCAGACTTTACACAAGGATGTTCTCCAGAGGGCCACAGGGAAGGAGAACCTAAAGTCATACAGAATTTCCAATAGACATGATTTTATGTTCTTCTAGCCTGAGGCCAGGCTGCATGTCTCTCTTTAAGTTTGAAAAGAAGTCATTTGCTTTTTCTAAAGGACGTCAACTAGACAGAGTGGGTTTCTGTGGCCACATCCAAGAATTCTAATTAATTTTTTAAAATTTTATGGATATAATTATTCCCTACTACCAACAAGTTAAGGAAATGCTTTGGCCTTTCTTATGCCCTCAGGTGTGCTTTACAACTCAGGGTTAGCAACCCCACCCATACTGCTTGCTGTCTCGTCTAGCCTTATGGCCATCTATCCGGGCTCTTTGCTCCTGCAGAGAAGGGACTTGCCCAACAGCAGTATGCCTGGATAAAGAGAGTGGTTTGGGGATGTGATGTAGCATCTAGACAGAGATCAAGATCCCGTAAGGGTCTTTTCCCCCGTTTCCCAGAAAACCCAGGCTTTCACATTTGCCTTCCCTTTTCAAGCGGGTTACATCGGGTGGAGACGCGAAGAGACAAGCGTACCTCAGTGGCACACACCCCCACTTGGAAGGAGCTGGCCTGCTGTCTCTTCTGGAAATTTTCTAACTAAACCAACATTCACAGAACCTCCCGTCTTTCTGAACACTGGGGGCCGCTACTGAGGGGGGTATTATCTGGTCCTTGCCTTCGAGAAGACTCCAGCATACAAGTAACAGGTTCAAGTCAGTGTGCTGAGGACTGGGGTAGAGCGGGCTCACAGGTGGGGGAGACAACGAGCCTGGCTCTGTGCAGGGAGCAGGCTTCTCAAGGATGACGTTCATGTGAGCGCTGCAGGGTTAGCGGGCCACTGATGAGCACATAAGGATGGAGACGGGCAGAGATCTGTTAATGTAATGAGAGCCCGCTCTTAAACACTCTCTGCTTCTCCTCCTCCATGCTGCTAGAGGTCCAGCTGGATATGTGGCTTCACGGCCAAGACCATGCCTTCTTATATATAGCCTTTGCTGCTAGGTTCAGTCAGCGGGTTAAGTTCTGGTCAATGGAACATTAGCACCCATAAGTCTCCTCGCAATAAATGCCTCGGTACATGCATGGCCATACAAATTATTGAAGACTATTACTAGTCATTAAATAATTACCTATTATATAATCACCCAAAGAAGAAAGCTCTCAAACCAAGCTAATAGCAGAGCCCGCCCCTGATGGCAGAAACACACTCGCTACAAGACTAGAAAAATCTACACAGGCTGCCAGGATGACGCGTCCTCCTACCTAGGGGCTGCCACACATTCTGTCTTCGGCTAGACCAGTTTCCCTCACGGCTGGGCCGATTCCTTGCAGGAATCTGTCTGACCTCCCAGAAAAGGAAGATCCACAGCTTACATGCTCTTGTTATCCTTAGTATCTCTCGCTGAGAAGGCCATGTCCATGATTACTCACACTGGCATACAATTGTTATTGTCTTAAGCTCCACGAGTTCAAGACAACGCTTGTCACATCTGCATCCTGAGTCTTACTACTCTTAATGTACAAAGAAGGCAGGGAAAAATAGAAGGAAGGAGGGAGGGAAGGAAAGAAGGAAGAGATGATGGACAAAGGTGTGTGTGTGTGTGTGAAGAGATTAAAACCTCAAAAAAAAAGCATCTCTAAGGAAAGAAGACACAAAAAGAGAAGGAAGCCTGTGATATGTATCATTCTCCTCATCATTTCTTCAGGGAAGGAAGCTGGTTCCCAAAGCACCTCACCAAGATGTGACGCTGTCTGTGGAACGTAGAACCAGGCAGCAAGCCAAACTGAGGTGGCTTTTCCTGAGTGTACTGTCTCTTTTGTCATTTCCTTTCCTAGCTTAGGCAGTCAGTCACCTGTTCAGAGAGCTGTACGTGTGGGATTTGGTACATGACATCGGCTATGAAACTGAAAGAGTAAGTATAGTTTAGCCGGGTGACAGGTTTTGAGGAAGTCACTTTGTTCTCAGAATATTGGAAGCGGTGACTGGCTGCCCTTGTTAAAACCAAACGAAAAGGCTTCCGGGATTGGAGCAAAGGTCTCTGGGTGACCTTCCACAGAGGACAGGGAGGCCTGCTCTTCCTGGCCCAGAAGGTGTCTTTTCTGTGACTGGGAGACATCTGTGTCGCACTTACCTGGATGCAGTGACCCCCTCTTAAATCCAGAGCCCAGCCACTAGCTAGAGGCCTGTTCCCTCTTGTCTGTTAAGCAAAGCAGAGACGGATGACGGGGAAAGATGACAAGTCAAGAAGAACAGTGACAAAACCCTACTCCAAACCTTGAAAACCTAGAGAAAACTCAAAATGCCCTGGTTTCTATCTCTTGGTGCCTAAGTATAGCAGGAAAAGCTCTGTGGAAAGGCAAGCTTTGCTTCCCCCTTGTCAGGGGCACAGGCTTATACAAGCACACAGTGAATCTGCCTTATACAAGACATCAGTACCATATGGTAACTGTGTTTCTGCTAAGTGAACACCAGGCAAGGAGAAGCCGTTCTTTATTAGCCTCAGTCCCCTCAGCCCAACAGAGGAGTGATGAGGAGCAAACAGCCTGGACCCCGTGAATGAGGAAGTCTCCGCATTAGCTGTTAGTCCTAGAAGCATGCAGCTATGAGGTGAACACCAGACAACAGTCACCGTGCATGCTTGTCTACAGATTGCTGCATTTGCCCATCCTGTCAACAAATGGGTGTCTCCCCATAAAAACTCCCCCTTCATAGCTCAGTCAACAATTGTCTTCTGAGTCCAGAAAAAACAGAAAACCGAAGTCTACATAACAATTTGTATTCTGTAAATTCATACATCAATGCGTGTTATGACTTTGACCTTAGCTGTCCCGTCATCATCAGATGCCTTTCCCCACTGTGTAGATGGCCATCTTAGTTTGTCCTCCTCTCCCTCGATCTCTCCTCCCTTCCCTTCCCTTCCCTTCCCTTCCCTTCCCTTCCCTTCCCTTCCCTTCCCTTCCCTTCCCTTCCCTTTCCCCTCCCTTCTTTTTCCTTTTCCCTTTCCCTTCTTCCCCTCCTCCTTCCATTGCCCTCTTCGCTTTGCCTTCCAGAATGCTCTGATTACCGTCATTTTTAGCCACACATGGTCTCCAGCAAGGTGACGGGAGGGATTGTCTATGGTCAAGTGCCACGAGGCAGCATCTCAAAGGATGCAAATGCCTGTGAAGTGTGACGTGCAGAGCCCATGGTGTTTTCTCATTAAACAGCCATGACCACTGCTGCCACGCAGGATAAGTGGACACACTTTGGTCCTTAAGTCAGCCAACGCCCAGCTGTCTCTCTTCCTCTGAGGCGCATGTCTCCACTAAATCCCCAATGGGGACATCTGTGGGCCTCACTGCTCCTCTGTCACCACGGGGCCCTCAGATTACAGTACGGACTCTCAGTAGGACAATCGGACTGGAAATAAGACAGAGCTATTTTCTCTCTGTAGCTGCCAGTACATGGGCTGTCCTCCAAGGCTTGTTTAGGAGATCTCAGATACAACAGGGTGCTTCCTTGAGGCCCTGGCAGGAAACAGGGGTCACGGCAAGCCTCCTGTTTCTGGGTTTATTTCCTGGACACAGTTGGTGTTTAGCAAATGCTAAATGCATATATGAAAGGAAGAAATCAATCTTACTGAAATGGTCAGTTTCCTAAAGGTCACAGCGAGGTTGGGGCATTACACATTAGGGTGAGTGTGTGCGTGTGTGTGTGTGAGTGAGTGAGTGTGTGTGTGTGTGTGTGTGTGTGTGTGCATGTGTGTGGAGGGTGTTTCAGGTCTGGCCTCACCAGACTTTGCAGTAGCAAGTGAACACAATTATCCTTGATAGCCTGGAAGATGCCCCGTGATCTAGTTTCCTCTTGGAAAGTGTCAAGAAAGAGGAAGCAAAGTCACTCCTAGAAAAATCTATTTGGGTTTGTTTGACTTGCCACATCCTTCCCTCGACGAAAGGGGACACGAAATGGAAAGGGACACTAGGACATGGGAAGTGTGGGCCGGGGGAATTCCAGGCACTGACAACACAGAGTAGCTTACCGGCCAGAGAGGAGCAGGGACAGGCGGTTGATGGGTGTCTCACCCTCCACGGCATAGGTCTGCTCCGTGGCCAGTGTCAAGACCTGCTCGTGGCAGCAGTGGACAATTTCCTTGTAGACCTGCAGGGGCACCTGCAGGGGCAGGCACAGCGTCTTGTAGAGGAGGTTGAACTCCTCGGGGAGGGTATTCACCCGGAGGCGATACACCAAATGCGCCAGTTGAAGCAGGCAAGCCGCCGTCAGCAGGGAGTTCCAAAGGACGATGTCCAGCCCGCAGGCATCAAACCAGCCCCACAGCACACAGCACAGGTAGCCTGGGCCCAGGATGCCGAAAAGATAGAAGCAGCCGTACACCCCACTGCCTGCCATGAAACCCATGAGCAAGAAGCAGCTGGCAAGGTGGTAGACGGCACCTTCCATATCCTGCTTCCAGCTACCGCACACTGGCCCCCGCCAGAGGAGCTGACCCAGCGCGCTGCTGTTGGGACTCATCTTTGGGGCTCTCAAAGACTCTCCAGGCCTCTCCACAAAGGAAAGTGGAAGAAAAAAAAATCAAGCAACCTGGACTCCCCAGTGACTTCTCACCACCAACTCTACCTTTGCTGGCAGGAATGCTTCTGGTGGCTCTGAGAAAGAATGCCAGAACATAGTACGCTTCATGGAAGACTGAAAACCTGTTTGTTGTTCGGGATGTTTTTTCTTCTCTCTCTCTCTCCCTCTCTCAGCACCACTCTCGTCCTCCCTGCAGCACTCTGGCAAACTTCTTTGGCTCCGGCTTTCTTAGAATGCTCTTCACCTTTAGTTTGCAGCAAAATGCATACACTGTCCTCAGAGAAAGTAGGACCACAACACCAGAAACTTCAGTAGCACTGGACGCCGAAGCCACGTCCTGCTTTCTGTTGTTCCCAAGCAGACTGAGGAGTGAGAGCCAGCAGGAGAGACACACTTGGGTTCCATTTGGAATGCATGTTCTCTTGGCACCGGAAGAAAGGGTGACCCCAGAGGGATACCATGTTTGGAATTGGAATCCAAGAGGTACTGGCAGTGAGAGAAAACAGGCCAGGCCAACAGGCAGGCTGGTACGACACTTAGCATACCTCCAGAGGACAAGATAAGACCCTGGGGGTCACCAGAGGCAGGCAGAGCAGTCAAAGGAAAAGCGAGCAGAGAATTGAGGTCCACAGAGCAGGCGGGACACAGTGCAGACGCCCTGTCAGGAGGATTTGGGGATTTGTGTGTGGTAGGAGGGCAGTTCAAAGTGGGAACGCCTGTGGCTATTAACAGAAACAGTCCTGGCAGTGAGAACCGGAAAGCTCCATGAAAGGTCTAAGACACCCTGCAAACATCGCTGTGCACTGATTTGACGTTCATTCGACAAAAGCAGCTGGTAAAGCAGCCCCTTCAACTCTAAGCTGCCACTCCGCTGCAAAATCTGCACCTAGTAAGAGTTAATGAATGGTAACACATTACCCAAATCACCACCCCATCTACGTCGGTGACCTCCAGTCAAAATGACTACCCACGAAATACTCATTTGGTGTTCGACCTCCAGTGGCCACTTTATATATGTATATAAACACACATATTTAACATATATTATATTATATGCATATAAATATATATGTATATAAATGTATATTAAACATATATAACATATTGTGTACATACATAAATTTTATATATATATATATAATACTGAGTCATCACCAGTCTCCCAGAGCTTAGGAAATTGGGGGCCTCAGAGAGGTAACATGTACCAACACAGAGTAGGCAACAAAGTTGGAATTTGAACCCAAGTCTGTCATAGTTAATGCTGTGTTTTAAGTGGGCTTTACAGTAAGCAGAAATGCCAAACATGCTGAACTAGATCAACTTCACACTCCTAAGACATCTGATGACTTTCAAGAAACTTCTAGACAAACTCAGGGATCCACTTTGCACCGCAAAGAAGTAAATGTGAAATAAGCAAACATTAAGCCAAGAAACTTGACTTTCTTGCTTCTAGAGGACTTGCTGGGTCTCCATCCTGGCTGCTGGCTTGGTAGCGCCTTTGCCCTATTGTTCCCAAGATTTAAGTGCGTGCTGAGTAGCCTAGAACCATCCAAATGCTAAGTCTACGGGGAGTCACAGAACTAACAGTCTAAGGCTGAGGAAAAATTAGGAATTGTTGAATGCACTGTTGGAGTTCCCACCTGGACAAATACTTACTAAGTGCGCACTAACGTTGTTGGAGTTCCCACCTGGACAAATACTTACTAAGTGCGCACTAACGTTGTTGGAGTTCCCACCTGGACAAATACTTACTAAGTGCGCA